AAAGTAGAATGACATGGAGAGCGCATAAATCTGTAGGGGAAGGAAGGCGGGGTAGGGGTCATCCTCGAAAAGGTTGGAAGGAAGGGGTAAGGGAGGTTTTGTGGGCGAGGGGCTTGGACTTCCAGCAAGCAGGCATGAGCGTGTTCGATAGGAGTGAATGAAGACGAATGGTATTTGGGACCTGATGATCTGTTGGAGTGTGATCAGGGTAATATTTAGTGAAGGGATTCAGGGAAACTGTTTATTTTTATATAGCTGGACTTGAGTCCTGGAAATGGGAAGTACAATGCCTGCACTCTAAAGGAGATTTTCGGATATTAGCAGCTTGAAGGGATATGTTGTGTATCTTTTTACATATATGCTTCTAAACTGTTGTGTTCTGAGCACCTCTGCAAAAACAGTGATTATGTGTGAGTGACTTGAAAGTGTTGAATGATGATGAAAGTATTTTCTTTTTGGGGATTTTCTTTCTTTTTGGGTCACCCTGCCTCGGTGGGAGACGGCCAATTTGTTAAAAAAAAACAAAAAAAACACCAGTAATCCTACCATCGTGTAAAACAATTACAGGCTTCCGTTTTACACTCACTTGGCAGGACGGTAGTACCTCCCTGGGCGGTTGCTGTCTACCAATCTACTACCTAGGATATTATTATTATCATTATTAATTTATGGCATCCTCTGCCTAATAAGAAACTCATAGTGATTTTAACCCTTTGAGGGTCGACAGGCCCTCTCTGAAACTCGTTCTCAGGGTCGGCCAAATTTAAAAAAAAAAAAAAATTATTTTCTCTTATGAAAAGATAGAGAATCTTTTCCCGATCATAAAGACACCAAAAGTTTGAAATTTGATAGAAAACTTATGGAATTATGCTCTCGCAAAGTTAGCGGTCTCGGCGATATTTACGCATCGGCGATTTTGCCCACTTTGAGCCCCATTTTCGGCCAATTTCACTGTACTAGTCGACAAAAAACATGAATATTTCGCTAGAACTCCATTTTTTCTATCGAATGGGTGCAAGAAACCACCCATTTATAAATTCAACTATCCAGTACAGTGGTCAGAATTTAGCAATTTTGCCAATTACACACAAATTTCAAAAGATGCCAATTTCCGAATAGGGTCCAGAATAAACAAGAAAGACATTCCTGGCACTAAAATGACATTTCCTCTAGTCATTAGTCACGTCTCAAGGGCCCTCTTATATCCTTTTGCTTTCCACTTTGAATTTTTATTCTCACAAAAAATATAAGATTTACTGTTATGCAGACTACTGCATTAGTGTAAAAAATGGTATAAATATTATTGGTGCACTTGTAAAAGAATATTAGACTCACCAGTTGACGTGTATTGCACGCTTGGCACGATTTGTTTACTTTTGAAGTTTGGTAAAAATCGAACATTTCTGCTGCTTTGAGCTCAATTTCAAGGCACCTTTCATTGTAAAACCGGTCAAAATCATTTCAATTTCTGTAATATGTCTTCCATTCTATAAAATGAGACCAAGAAAACTAGAATACAACAATAAATACCATACGAAAATACACTGCAAAGTCGCTGATTTATTAAAAAAAAATGGTCAAAGTTTTTTTTTTTCTCATTATGCACTGTGTGCTGCAGGATTTTTTTTAGACTGTGCACACTGACCACATAGACCCATTCTTTCACATGAAGGCCTACCAGCTTTCTCCCACTAGATTTGAGGCTGCTAGAATTTATGAGTACTAGTACGTCAAAAACCCCTACGCGTAAAACGTACTAGTACGACCAAAACCCTCAAAGGGTTAATGTGTACCTGCATGCCAGCACAGTGTATAAGTTTATTTAGGTACAGGTATGCAAAAATGTAATTATCAGAGTATATATATAAAATATGAAGTAACTTTAAAACACTCGAAATTTTGGAAAGTTTCTGGACATAATGAAGAGACATTGCTGTATGACCCCCTTGTGGTTTAGCGCTTCTTTTTGATTATTATAATATTGGAGAGACACAGTGTTCACGGAGTTCATGGAGAATGTAAACAAACCTGGTGGGGCTCAGTGACCATGTTAGAAAGTCAGGTGGGAGGAGCTGTATAGCGAGTTTTGGTCATAGTTTGTAATGTCTGTATTAGAGGAATGCCATAAGGCGAAATGCCACAAGGCAGGGCCCTACTGTGTACAGTAGGTTACGCTAGTAAACTCGATGTTGATATGTACATATGCTACACTGCTGTACGGCACTGGATACTTACATATGTTGGACTTACGAACATACTGACCTACGAATGACTGCTCGGAACTGAACTTGTTCGTAAGTAGGGGAATATCCGTATTCCAAAACTTGATTACACTATTATATTCCAAAGCTTGATTGTACTGCTCCCATATGTATCTCAAATACATTTTGAGGATAATATTGTACACTAAAACCTCTCATTAAGTATTTACTTTAAGGACCTTCTTGCTATTAACCCCTTGACTGTCGAGGTCGTATATATATGTCTTACGAGGTACCGTGTTTGACGTATATATACTCAAATTCTAGCGGCGTCAAATCAAGCAGGAGAAAGCTGGTAGGCCCACATGTGAGAGAATGGGTCTGTGTGGTCAGTGTGCACCATATAAAAAAAATCCTGGAGCATGTAGTGCATAATGAGAAAAAAAATCTCCGACCGTTTTTTTTAATTAAAATGCCGACTTTGTGGTCTATTTTTGTATAGTATTTATGGTTGTATTCTCATTTTCTTGGTCTCATTTGATAGAAATAGAGGTGATTTTGATTGATTTTACTATAAAAAGAACCTGGAAATGGAGCTCAAAGTAGGGGAAATGTTTGATTTTTGCCGATGTTCAAAAGTAAACAAATGATGTCATTGTCCAATAAATGTCCAACTAGCCATTCTAATATGCAGTCATGAATGGGTTGATGTTATTTATACAGTTATTACAGTATTGCAGTAGTCTGCATTACAGTAAATCTTCTATTTTTTGTTTGAATAAAAATTCAAAATAGAAAACAAGAGTAATATCAGAGGGGCCTGGAGACATGACTGATGAACAAAGAAAATGTTATTTTAGAGCCAGGAATGTCTGTATTGTTCATTCTGGACCTTATTTTGAAATTGTCATATTTTTTAATTTTCATGAAATTGGCCAAATTGCAAATTTCTGACCACGTTATTTGGTAGTTGATATCGGTAAATGGGCAGTTTCCTGCACTCAATCGATAGAAAAAATGGAGTTCTAAAGAAATAGCTATGAGTTTGGTTGACTGGAACAAAGGAATTAGCCGAAAATAGGGCTTAAATTGGGCGAAATCACTGATTTGTAAATATCGCTGAGGTCGCTAACTTCGCGAGAGCGTAATTCCGTCAGTTTTCCATCAAATTTCATGTTTTTTGGTGTCATTACAATCGGGAAAAGATTCTCTATCATTTCATAAGAAAAAATTATTTTTTTTTTAACCCCTTGACTGTCGCAACCCCCAATCCTGAGGTGTCTCCTGGTGTTGCAAAATTTAAAAAAAAAATTATTTTTTTATGAAATGATAAAGAATCTTTTCCCGATTGTAATGACACCAAAAAAAATTAAATTTGATGGAAAACTGACGGAATTACTCTCTAGCGAAGTTAGCAACCTCAGCGATATTTACAAATCGGCGATTTCGCCCAATTTGAGCCCTATTTTCGGCTTATTCCATTGTTCCAGTTGACCAAACTCATAGCTATTTCTTTAGAACTCCGTTTTTTTTTATCGATTGAGTACAAGAAACTGCCCATTTACCGATTTCAACTACCCAATAACGTGGTCAGAAATTTGCAATTTGGCCAATTTCACGAAAATTAAAAAATATGACAATTTCAAAATAAGGTCCAGAATGAACAATGCAGACATTCCTGGCTCTAAAATAACATTTTCTTTGTTCATCAGTCATGTCTCCAGGCCCCTCTGATATTACTCTTGCTTTCTATTTTGAATTTTTATTCAAACAAAAAATAGAAGATTTACTGTTATGCAGACTACTGCAATACTGTAATAATTGTAAAAATAACATCAACCCATTCGTGACTGCATATTAGAATGGCTAGTTGGAGATTTATTGGACAATGACATCATTTGTTTACTTTTGAACATTGGCAAAAATCAAACATTTCCCCTATTTTGAGCTCCATTTCCAGGTTCTTTTTATAGTAAAATCAATCAAAATCACCTCTATTTCTATAATATGTTTTCCATTCTATCAAATGAGACCAAGAAAACGAGAATGCAACCATAAATACTATACGAAAATAGACCACAAAGTCGGCATTTTAATTAAAAAAACGGTCGGAGTTTTTTTTTCTCATTATGCACTGCATGCTGCAGGATTTTTTTTATATGGTGAACACTGACCACACAGACCCATTCTCTCACATGTGGGCCTACCAGCTTTCTCCTGCTTGATTTGAAGCTGCTAGAATTTATGAGTATATATACGTCAAACACGGTACCTCGTAAGACGTATATGTACGGCCGCGACAGTCAAAGGGTTAAATTTTGCGACACCAGGAGACACTTCAGGATTGGGGGTTGCGACAGTCAAAGTGTTAAATAAGTGGGTATATTCTTTGTCATGCATTATGTTTTGTGGCTATGAGCTGACTTATACTCACAGTCAGCTGTTCTTGCATCACTTTGAGTTTCACACTAAAACTGCAGTATCTCATGTTCGTTAAGGAATAGTTCAGGAGACTCCCAATTAAATTTACTTCAATGAAAAGTGAATGTGAGCACTTAGTAAATTAGGATTGCACCTGCTGAGTGACTGAAGGCTGTCGTTCAATATGTTGCAAAAATGCCACTTTGCAAAGTGCACATTTTATCATTTGGAGTCTTAAAAAAATTGTTGTTGATTTCTGAGAATTACTACAGGAACAAAATGGAGCATTGGAGTGATTATACTACAAAAGAAATATATTATTGAAATTTTAAGTTATAGAATATATATTTATTTTAAGTTTTACTGTTCATTTTGCAGATGAGACTTTCCCAGCCTCATGAAGCAGTGGATATCTCACAGTATTTACAGCAGTTGTTTGATGGTCCTGAGGAGCGCTGGCCATATGTAGACACATCAGACTTTATGGGTGATCTTCTCTTTGCTGACCAGCCCAAGATTGATCTACAGGTAGGATAACAAAGTTTACATAACGTGTGTCACCAACATGTTATGTAAACTGATGAAGATGTAAGATCTTGGTTTACTTAACATATGTGTCACCAACACACGTGTTATGTAAACTGATGAAGATGTAAGATCTTGGTTTACTTAACATATGTGTCACCAACACACGTGTTATGTAAACTGATGAAGATGTAAGATCTTGGTTTACTTAACGTGTGTCACTGACACATGTTACGTAAATTATTGTTTAGGTTATAAATAAATTAACCTACTTATTGCACTGTCAGATTTTAATATATTCTTCTTTCTTTTAACACACCGGCCATATCCCACCAAGGTAGGGTGGCCCAAAAGGAAAAACAAAAGCTTCTCCTTTTACATTTAGTAATATATACAGGAGAAGGGGTTACTAGACCCTTGCTCCCGGCATTTTAGTCGCCTCTTACAACACGCATGGCTTATGGAGGAAGAATTCTATTCCACTTCCCCATGGAGGTAAGAGGAAATAAACAAGAACAAGAACTAGTAAGAAAATAGAAAAAAACCCAGAGGGGTGTGTGTATATATATATGCTTGTACATGTATGTGTAGTGTGACCTAAGTGTAAGTAGAAGTAGCAAGACGTACCTGAAACCTTGCATGTTTATGAGACAGAAAAATGGACACCAGCATTCCTACCATCATGTAAAACAATTACTGGCTTTCGTTTTACACTCACTTGGCAGGATGGTAGTACCTCTGGGCGGTTGCTGTCTACCAACCTACTACCTATAATTTTAATACTGTATATATGAAAGATATATCAAGTTTATATGTAGTAGGTTGGTAGACAGCAACCGCCCAGGGAGGTACTACCGTCCTGCCAAGTGAGTGTAAAACGGAAGCCTGTAATTGTTTTACATGATGGTAGGATTGCTGGTGTCCATTTTTCTGTCTCATAAACATGCAAGATTTCAGATACATCTTGCTACTTCTACTTACACTTAGGTCACACTACACATACATGTACAAGCATATATATACACACCCCTCTGGGTTTTCTTCTATTTTCTTTCTAGTTCTTGTTCTTGTTTATTTCCTCTTATCTCCATGGGGAAGTGGAACAGAATTCTTCCTCCGTAAGCCATGTGTGTTGTAAGAGGCAACTAAAATGCTGGGAGCAAGGGGCTAGTAACCCCTTCTCCTGTATGTATTACTAAATGTAAAAGGAGAAACTTTCGTTTTTCCTTTTGGGCCACCCCACCTTGGTGGGATACAGCCAGTGTGTTGAAAGAAAGAAAGAACTACATAACACAACTGCCTGCTAATACTTTGAAGAAAACTGCTCAGACCAGGTGTTTTGTCTTTGCACATAAAAAAAAGTCCACAAAAATGCACACACACTGGTTTTATGTGTGAGGAGTGTAAAACACCATTGTGTATGAAAACATGTTTCAAAGAGTTCCACAAGCTGCAGAACTTCTAGGAGTATGTTCAGTGACTGTATATTGGTATATATATTATAGAACAATAGTAAAAAACAATTTTTTGTATTGTTTGTTTTTGTAAACAAGTTTTGTAAACAATATATTGATAATTATGTTTGTGTGCTTATTGTGTTGTATACAACGAGTGTATATACGTACACTGCACCTTACTTTGGTCTCACAGGCCACATAAGTTATGTGAAAAAATAAAATGGTGAAAAAAACAACAAACCTTCAAATACAAGTAAACCAAAGTTTACCAGGTGAGCCGCAGTCACCGCTGTTGCCATACGCGGCTCATTTTCTGCAAACTTCACGCCTCTATATCTCGGTAAGTACTGATGGCAAAAATTTGTTGTTTTTTTTGGACTAAAACACTCAGAAAAATAATCTTAACATTTTCATAAGAAAAAATAATTTTTTTTTTCGAATATTTTGCGACATAGAATGACAGTTTCAGAAAGGGGCCTGCAACAGTCAAAGGGTTAAAACAGCAACTTTGCAGTGTATTTCCATATGGTATTTATGGTTGTATTCTCATTTCTTTGTCTCATTTGATAGAATGTAAGATATATTACAGAACTAGAGATGGTTTTGATCGGTTTCACAATGAAAAGTACCTTGAAATTAAGGTGAAAGTAGCGGAAATGTTTGATTTTTGCCAGTGTTCAAGAGTAAACAAATCATGCCACGCATCCAGTATTCTTTCGCAAGTGCGCTGATATTATTTATACCATTTTTACAATGATGCAGTAGTCTGCATAGCAGTAAATCTTTAATATTTTGTGTGAATAAAAATTCAAAATGGAAAGCAAGAGTAATATAAGAGGGGCCTGGAGATGTGACTAATGAACAGAGAAAATGTTATTTTAGTTCCAGGAATGTCTGTCTTGTTTATTCTGGGCCATATTTTGATCTTGGCATCTTCTGAAATTTGGTTGAAATTGGCCAAATTGCCAATTTCTGACCACTTTATTGGGTAGTTGAAATTGGTAAATGGGCAGTTTCTTGTACTCAGTTGATATAACAAATGGAGTTCTAGTGAAATAGCTATGATTTTTGTCAACTGGAACAATGGAATTGGCCGAAAATAGGGCGCAAAGTGGACAAAAATCATCAATGCATAAATATCGTTGATATCGCTAACTTTGCGAGAGGGTAATTTTGTAAGTTTTCCATCAGATTTCGAGCTTTTGGTGTTATTACCATCGGGAAAAGATTCTCTTATCATTTCATAAGAAAAATAATAATTTTTTTTTTTTTACCTTGAGAGTGAGTTAAGGATCAGGGGGTCTCAACCCTCAAAGGGTTAATCTTGTCTCCCAGGATGTGACAAATAACAGTCAACTAACACCCAGGTACCCATTTAGTGCTAGGTGAACAGCGACAACAGGTGTAAGGAAACATGTCCAACATTTTCATCTGTGCCGGTAATTGAACCACGAACATTTAGTATGTGAGCTGAGTGCTCTTTCTATGGATAGAGACATTATATATTTCAAATAGTTTTGTTACAGTGGTTGGCTGCTCACCACATTTACAGGTCCTGTAATGAAAAATTTAACTCAGTAATTGGAGACTTGACATTTACTGTAACAAAGATAATATAGAATGGAAGATTAAGTTATGGAAATTGTGGTATTTTAATCTTGTTCGAGTCAGACATAGTGGGGGGAATCGACTTATCAAGCAAATATAGGCCTAAACTTGAATTAGCACCAAAATTTTAGGGGTCGACTTATATGCCAGGACGACTTGTTTGCTGGCATGTACGGTTGTTTGTCTAGGAAATGTATCTTCACTTTTTTTTTATGAATGTTGAGAGTCTTTATCCAGTATGCCAAATTATTTAAAAGAGATGATTCTTATATATAATGTTTGCTATTTTTATAAAAGGAATTTAATTAAAGAGTACTTACTGTCTGTAAAGAAAAACACACTGTTTCAAACTATTGTTGTTTTACAGGTTGGGTTCTGTGGTATGTATCCATACTGCAGTACACTGGTGGTTGACATAAGACCATGGGCCTTGATGGTCAATCATACTGGGATAGAACTGTTGCTGCAAGAAGCTGACTCCTCAAGTAGCTGGTTTGTTCCTCCTGGAGCTGTGTTTGCTCCCCCAAAGATGGATGGACTTTTTACAATTGGCTTAATAGAAAATGACCAACATTATCATACTACATCTTTACAGTTGTCCAAAGAAGACAGATGGTACAGTCTGAAGTTTGAGGGTCGCATTCCTCGAGAAGGTTCCACTAACCTCCGCATTCCTACTCAGGACAAAGTGTGTTTCATTACTGTTCTCTCTAGGTACGAGGAGAACATTCAAATAATGCACCTTCTGCCAACTTATTCAATCACCAACAATACTGAAGAGGAATTAACTGTTTGTTCTATGTATGTTTATGCTGGCAATATTAAGATCCAGCTTCCTGTGTCATTACCTGCTTTAGAACTGTCTAGTAAATGCCGAAGCAGCTGCATGAAAGAAGTTCCACTACTTATGTGGCACATTCTAAGAGACCCTGGCTCATCAACATCAGATGAAGAGCTCTGTTGTATTCAGATTGGCCAAAATGGTTATCAAGCTCACCCAGTTGTAATAAAGGACACACCACCAGACCAGAGGATGACTTTTACACTGCCAAATAGTGATGATGGACCTGTCCTCAATAGATCATTCTTGGTTACTTCTCACAAGCACTTTGGCCAAATTAAAATGGTTGTTCAAGTGGATCCATCACCGCAAATGATTATACACAATTGTACAAATGCCCTACTTATATTAGGTAAGTCAAGTTTCTAGTAATATTTTTTTCAAATTAATTCAAGACTTCATTTAATTGAAGTAGTTGAGTAACTGGAAGTTTATGCAGTGTAGCCACAGTATAACAGCATTGTAATAAAGTTATCCTTCTGTAAAGAACAAAAAGGCACAATACCGTGACTGGAACATTACTCGCACAAAGGAGAGAGGAGCTTACAACAACGTTTTGGTCCGACTTGGATCGTTTACAAAGTCACACTAACAGAAAGGACAGGAGGAGGCAGTATACACAGCCTCTCTTCATTTAACGATGGAGTTCTGTTTCTAAGACAACATTGGTAAACGAATTTGTCATTAAGTGAGGAAAATACTATAATGGTAGTGGGTTTGTGTCATCCATCTTTGATACTGTTTTAATGTCTCCTTTCCACCATTTATAACATTTCTGGTATATTTTTAAATGTTTATAAAGCAGTGTACTGTATACTGTAATATACTAAATAGAGAAAATCAGCTCTAATATACACTATTTAGGTGTGCATACTGGTCAGAGAGCCCGTCGTAAGTCTGAGTTGTTGGTAAACAAGTACGTCACTAATTGAGGAGAGGCTGTATAGACCAGCAGACAGGGACAGGACGAGAGCAGTAGTAGGAAAGGAAGTAGAGAGGTAGTGGTAGGAGCAGTAGTGGAATCAGTCAAGGCCAAGAAAGAGGAGAGCTAAGGGGTAGAAACAAAAACACAGGGAAAAGGGGCAGGGAGGGGGGTAAGTAAAGGACCAAACATCTGAGGCAGAAGAATGAAAACCCAAAGAAGAAAGATAAAAAAAAAAAAAGAGGAAGAGGGAGGAGGAGAAAAATGAATCAGGTTGAGTCACGGGTGTTCTGAAGTTTGGAGCATTTTACAATGTAATGGGAAAGGAAGGCATCTACAGACAAAACCCTACTTCTAACTGTGAAAGTTAGAAGTAGGGAAGACAGTTTTAGCAGAAGACTAGTCAATAGGATGACTGTGATCTCTGACATGACAGAAAAGAGCATTCTTGGTGTCAGAAAGAGAGCAGCCAGTTTCTCCAAAGTACTGAAGAGGACAAGAGGAACAGGAAATAGAGTAGACACCAGGAGCATCTATGGAGGGAGGAGAGGTATGAACTAGAATAGTGCAAAGAGTGTTAGTCTGGCAAAAGTAAGTTTGATGTCTAAGGAACGGAGAGAGTTGTTGAGATTAGAAAGACTGGAAGTATAGGGAAGGCAGAGAACAGGAGATTTCCAAGGAGTAGAACTGGAAACACTTAAATTTTGAGAGCCAACTGTGTGTTTAACCCATAAACGGTCCAAACATATATATACGTTTTTTCAACATTTGAAAGTATGTAAAAAAAGTTTATCTTTTTTTTTTACATTTGAAAACGTGTAAAAAAACTTTGATCTACTTTTTTTTTGTTATATTTGAAAATATGTAAAAAAACAACGTAGATCTACTTTTGGAGCACTACGCATGTGAACGTAGATCTGCTTGGACCGTTCACGGGTTAATTATTTATATTGCACAAAATATTAATTTCTAGCTCTTATCTGTGTATGTGTGTTTGTGTGTGTTTGTATGTGTTGTGTGTTTGTGTGTGTGTGTGTGTGTGTGTGTGTGTGTGTGTGTGTGTGTGTGTGTGTGTGTGTGTGTGTGTGTGTGTGTGTGTGTGTGTGTGTGTACTCGCCTAATTGTACTCACCTAATTGTGGTTGCAGGGGTTAAGACTCAGCTCCTGGCCCCGCCTCTTCACTGATCGCTACTGGGTCCTCTCTCTCTCTGCTTCCTGAGCTTTGTCATACCTCTTCTTGAAACTATGTATGGTTCCTGCCTCCACTACTTCACTTGCTAGGCTATTCCACTTGCTGACAACTCTATGACTGAAGAAATACTTTCTAACGTCCCTGTGACTCGTCTGAGTCTTCAGCTTCCAGTTGTGACCCCTTGTCCCTGTGTCCCCTCTCTGGAACATCCTATCTCTGTCCACCTTGTCTATTCCCCGCAGTATCTTGTATGTCGTTATCATGTCTCCCCTGACCCTTCTGTCCTCCAGTGTCGTCAGTCCGATTTCCCTTAACCTTTCCTCATACGACATTCCTTGAGCTCTGGGACTAGCCTTGTTGCAAACCTTTGTAAATTTCTCTAACTTCTTGACGTGCTTGACCAGGTGTGGGTTCCAGACTGGTGCTGCATACTCCAGTATGGGCCTAACATACACAGTGTACAGTGTCTTGAACGATTCCTTATTAAGGTATCGGAACGCTATTCTCAGGTTTGCCAGGCGCCCGTATGCTGCAGCAGTTATTTGGTTGATGTGTGCCTCCGGTGATGTGCTCGGTGTTATGGTCACCCCAAGGTCTTTCTCCCTGAGTGAGGTCTGTAGTCTTTGTCCACCTAGCCTATACTCTGTCTGCGGTCTTCTTTGCCCCTCCCCAATCTTCGTGACTTTGCATTTGGCTGGATTGAATTCGAGAAGCCAGTTACTGGACCACATGTCCAGCCTGTCCAGGTCTCTTTGCAGTCCTGCCTCATCCTCGTCCGATTTAATTCTTTCTTTATCAACTTCACGTCATCTGCGAACAGGGACACTTCAGAGTCTATTACTTCCATCATGTCATTCACATATATCAAAAATAGCACTGGTCCTAGAACTGACCCCTGTGGGACCCCGCTCGTAACAGGCGCCCACTGTGATACCTCTTCACATACCATGACTCGTTGCTGCCTCCCTGTCAGGTATTCCCTTATCCATTGCAGTGCCCTCCCTTTTACGTGCGCCTGATCCTCCAGCTTCTGCACTAATCTCTTGTGGGGAACTGTGTCAAAGGCCTTCCCTGCAGTCTAGGAAAACGCAATCTACCCACCCCTCTCTCTCGTGTCTTACTTCTGTTACCTTGTCATAAAACTCCAGGAGGTTTGTGATACAGGATTTGCCTTCCATGAACCCATGCTGGTTTTCATTTATAATCTTGTTCCTTTCCAGGTGTTCGACCACTCTCCTCCTGATAATCTTCTCCATGACTTGGCACACAATACATGTCAGAGACACAGGTCTGTAGTTTAGTGCCTCGTTTCTGTTTCCTTTCTTAAATATGGGGACTACATTAGCTGTCTTCCATTTCTCAGGTAGTTGCCCAATTTCAAGGGATGTGTTGAAGATTGTGGTTAGAGGCATGCACAGCATCTCTGCTCCTTCTCTAAGGACCCATGGGGAGATGTTGTCCGGTCCCATCGCCTTTGAGGTGTCAAGGTCACTCAAGAGCTTCTTCATCTCCTCCTCAGTTGTTCGTATGTCATCCAACACTTGTTGGTATATTCCCTCTTGATGTTCCCTTCTGTGCTGTCTTCCCACAGCCCTTCCTGTCTCTACTGTAAAAACTTCCTTAAATCTCCTGTTCAGCTCCTCACATACCTCTTGATTATTTCTTGTGAGTTCTCCACCTTCTGTCCTTAATCTGATCACCTGGTCTTTTACTGTTGTCTTCCTCCTGATGTGGCTATACAACAGTTTCGGGTCAGTCTTGATTCTCGATGCTATGTCATTTTCATACTGTCGCTGGGCCTCCCTCCTTACCTGTGCATACTCATTCCTGGCTCTGCGACTGATCTCCCTATTTTCGTGTGTTCTCTGCCTTCTGTACTTTTTCCATTCTCTATTACACTTTGTTTTTGCCTCCTTACACCGTCGGGTAAACCAGGGGCTCGTTCTGGTCTTCCCGTTGTTACTGTTGCCCTTGGGAATAAACTTTTCCACTGCCTCCTTGCATTTTGTTGTTACATATTCCATCATTTCATTTACTGGCTTTACTGCCAGTTCTCTGTCCCACTGGACCTCCCGCAGGAAGTTCTTCAACCCTATGTAGTCCCCTCTTTTATAGTCAGGCTTTTCCCATTCAACTCCTGTTATTCTCTCCACTTGCAGCTCTACTATGTATTCAAAGCACAGAACCACGTGGTCGCTAGCTCCTAGGGGACTCTCATACTTGATGTCCTCAATGTCTGAGCTGCCCAGGGTGAACACAAGGTCCAATCTTGCTGGTTCATCCTCCCCTCTCACTCTGGTAGTGTCCTTAACATGTTGGTGCATGAGGTTTTCCAGCACCACGTCCAACATCCTGGCTCTCCATGTTTCGTGTGTGTGTGTGTGTGTGTGTGTGTGTGTGTGTGTGTACACCTATTTGTGATTGCAGGGGTCGAGACATAGCTCCAGGCCCTGCCTCTTCACTGATCACTACTAAGTCCTCTCTCTCTCTCTCCCCCTGCTCCATGAGCTTTATCATACCTCATCTTAAAACTATGTATGGTTCCTGCCTCCACTACATCACTTGTCAGGGTATTCCTGACAACTCTATGACTAAAGAAATACTTCCTAACATCTCTCTGACTCATATGAGTCTTCAACTTCCAATTATGACCCCTTGTTTCTGTGTCCCATCTCTGGGACATCCTGTCTCTGTCCACCACCTGTGTGTGTGTGTGTGTATGTCTCTCTCTTTCTTTCTCTCTCTCTCTCTTTCCCTTTCTTTCTTTCTCTTTTTTTTTTTACAAGGGGTTTGACAAGGTTAAGGATCCCTAGCTTTATTGACAAGCTATTTACAGGTTAAGGATTCCTAACATTATTGGCAAGCTAGGAGCTGTTACCTACATCAGCTCATTTGAAAGCATTTTTATTGTTATGAGACATACAAGTAGGGAACAGAATGAAGTTGGAGCCATCTGTGGGCCAGCATTTTCATTTGATCAACTGACTTAATCTCGTTGATATCATTATGCTGTACGAATGTGTTCCATACTCAAGTCATCCTGGGTATATATGATCTCAGATGGAGTGATGTTCTGGAGAAGGGTACAGCTAGAGTGAAGTTGCTGCCTTCTGCCTGTCTTGTGGCATAAAAGCTTGTTTCACGCTGTCCTCGAAGTGGATCCAAATGTGCTACTTTGACAATATTGGCCTTATACATAACAGTAAGGCCGCCCACATCCCTCCTATGTTGAAGGCTC